CAATTTGACCCACATGCCCGCTTTTGGGGTGGGCCAATGGATGACCTGGAAATTTAGATGGATTGGACTTGGCATGGACGAATCATGTCTACTTTAGGCTATTGGTGGGCCAGCTCAAAGCGGCTTGCCTATTTTGACACCTCTCTCATAGAACCAAGTTTTGAAGAAAAAGAGGAGAAGAAAATTTACTATGTTTTCAAGATGACATAAGAAGGTTCATCAACTCATATTCGTTTCCTTTCCTTTTCTCAGATCCAAATGATATCGTTCTTTTCAAATATGTGTTTGTACAATTCGAATTGCTAATTTCAAATAGGTAAAACGAAGATGCAACTTATACTTCTGATGCTTTAGTTCTAATTTCTCATTTTCAACTTAAAGTATGTAATCATGATTGAGTGTCTGCTATTGAACTTATTGTTTTCTTTTTGTTAGATTAGATTGAGAAGTATGCTGATATTAACAGATGAAATATGCGTTTTAGCTGTAGAAACAAACACCATAATTTTGATAAGGATAAAGATTTATTGGTATGACACGTGTGATCATTTATTGATGTTTGGTTGTTCTTAACACGTTGTACGTTCACATTCTCATAGAGATATCAAAAATTCATGCATGATAAAATGTTCAGTTATGTTTGAAAGAGATTGTCGAATAACTTAAAAAAATCAATCGTTGCCACGAATGAACAATGTGTTATCATGCACTTGAGATTCACATTCGAACGTAGAGCCATATATCATAATGATTGTTAATTGGCCTTTCCAAGTTTTAGGATTACATTTGATATTTCTTGTTTTAGGGTCTTTTTACATACATGGATATGCATATAGCTAAGCCCTTTTTTTGCCTTTCTTATCATTGTACATAGGACAGAAATTGTTACAGAAATTTTACACGGGACAAATTAATTATATATATTTCATTTCATATTGAATTGAAATCCAATTAAGTTTGCAATGAAGGTTCATAAATTAATTAAAATAGTTCAATTATTTAGTCAACCATATACAAAAGGTGAAAACTGAGAAATTATATTAACAATATGGCCTTAGTGTTATCCCCTTGATGGTCGAAAGAGCTAAAATGGCTAAGACATGGGCAGTGTCTTGCTCCCATGTCGAAGCCATGTTCGAGATGTACTCGATAAAGTGCATTTCTGAGAATATTTGGTGCAAGGTAGCATTGTCAGTAATCATTCGAGAGTTGAATTGGTAGTGCATGGACGAAGGCATGGCACTAGCAGAACTCGGCATGCAAGGCAGTTAGGAGTAGGCTTTGGCTGAACGCGGCCTAGTAGATTCATGGCATGCAAGCCTAAAAATCAATTGGTGGAAGTTTTCAAAGGTAGCTGGACAGATTTTACCAAGGTAGTTACTTTCGACAGTTATATGTCAATGATTCGACATGTGCAAAGTAGTTTTAGCAGGCGGGTTGGTTACTTGCCATGTCGGGGCAATTTTCAGTTGAATCCTAGTCTAATGGCTACGCGTCAGCTACACGAATTTTATATAAACTCTTAAGACGAGACAAAAGGCATGGAGTGCATTGTTGTGATCATTGTCAAGTTTTATGAGTTATTCTTTTATTGTGGAATAAAAGTTGGGAAGTGTTTCCTGAACTTCGTGTGTTCGTTTACATTATCTGTTCCTTTCATAAAGTGTTACAAATTTTCGTTAATCAAAGAAATCTGAGTGTCTTCGAGGGTTGACTGATTGCAAAACTTAGTGCCATATAGCGAAAAAATTACTGCAGAAAAATTGATCCTATAACAATTGGTGTTAGAGCACAGTTGGAGCAGATTTTCGGTTAAGAATAGTGGACCAAAATCTTCGAGACGGGTTGCAATGTTGGAAGATTTCTTTGGTACAACCATGACTGACGATGTGGTAAGTCTTGCAGCGCGAGCACACATTGCTTAGTTACATGCCCAGTTTGAAGCTTTTATGAAAGACGTAAATGAAAAACAGATATCAATGATAAGTAACATGATGTTTTTTGTGATAGTATGAAATTTAGGGTAATTGGTGTAAAACGTCCCTACCTTTCAGCTTAATTTTGGAAAATATCTCCACCTTTCATTTTTTGGCATTTTTGCCCTCCAATCAACCTTTCATTGCGATGAAGGTCCTTCCGTCCAAGTTCTATACATTTTGCCGTTAATTAAAGAGAGAGTACCAATTTTTTTTCCACTCAGCAGGGGTAAAACTGTATCACCAATTGAAAACCCTCATTTTCTTAATTTCCTTCTTCACACTTCACAGCCCGAACGGTTCCCATTCCACTCTCTCTTGGTTCTTCAAAAATTTCCATTTATCTTTCATTTCAACAATTATTGCTCCATTCTTCTCTCGTATGGTCGCATACCAGCAGCCGGCATAGTGGAAGCTCGCGTTGGGAGTTTATCTAGTGAGCGACGTCGGGTAAGAATCATTACCTATTGGGTATTTTCGATTTCCATTTTGTATTGTGGTGCTTTGTTAGGATGAAGCTGTCTGACGTCTGCCAAGTTCAGTTGTTAATTTTTTAGCTTTTGTTTTTTTTATTTAGTGCACAAATTGTCTGCATGTAGTGGATATAATATAGTACTTTAGGAACCTTTTTAGGTGTTTATGTACTGGGAGAATGTAGCAAGTTCAGGACTTATGTTGGTTGCATAGTGGATATTTTGCACATTTGAAATGAATTGTAGCTATTTTTGCTTCAGTTTTCGGTTATTTTCACTTCAGCAGGTAGTGGATATTTTTGTTTCAGTTTTCGATTGATTGGTGGATGAATTGTGTCTCAGATTCTATGATAGAATTGTGTATTTAGGGACTTTTGAGTTGGTGTGTATCAATAGGTGGTATATGGACGAAAACAGGGAATTCTCTCGCCAAATTTTTTCTAAAAGTTAGGGATGTTATTAGCAAATATTTCTAAAAGGTAGGGACTTTACTCGCCAAACTTTTTATAAGTAGGGATGTTTTAAGCCAAAATTATAACTATGTAGGGATTATTATCTCAAGGTTCATTCAATTCCCAGAAGAAGTGAACATGACCCGTTCATCTTCACCAATAAGCCCAAAATGGGTTATTCATCATTAAACTGATACATAAAATCGATACATACTTCACAGCACCCATTTCCACTCGATCTCCTCAATTTACCCCGTGGTCACAATAAGCATAAACTAGAAATAAACATCTAGCAGTCATCTCTATAAATTGACCACCCATTCGATATATATCTTACTACATCTTTCCAGAAACCCAACATAAAAGTAGCAGTGATGGCCGGATTTCACCACTATATATGCTCTTTAATTAACAACATTTTTTCCCTTATTTAATGTAATAATTTAAAGTATTTTCACACCAATTTTCCAACTACTGTTATATATATGGACTACGTACAAGGCGAGAATAAGGGGTTCAATGGGTGAGATGGTTTTACTTCTGCTGACTGGACAAAAATTGGTTCTCTCTCTTTAATTAATGGCAAAATGGATGGAACTTGGACGGAAGGACCTTTATCGTAATGAAAGGTTGATTTGAGGGCAAAAATGTCAAAAAATGAAAGGTTGGGATGTTTTCCACAATGATGCTGAAAGGTAGGAACGTTTTGTGTCAATTACTCATGAAATTTAAGTTTGATGGTTCTGAAGAGGCCTCACTTTGGTGAAATGACCTATTACCAACCCTCCGCCCTTAGGGAGCTACAAGGGTAGTGCATAGCACTACCTACGCCTTGATATGACCTTAAGTCAAATCAAATAGTAGTTTGTCTGGATCAAGAAACACGTATATAAAGTTATATTCTCTTTGTATCCGGATGTCTTGATCCATTTCGAGTCCTTAGCGTTGGGTCATTGACTATTTTTGCACTTCACTTTTGTTGTAACTCCCGGATATGTCCGGAGTAATTGTATGTGATATTAGTTTCTGTTTTGCCCGGTGTACTTGTATATGAACATCTTTTATCAACGATATTTAAATTTATTGATAAAAAAAAAAATAGTAGTTTGTCAATCAAAGTTAGTAGCGTGCTATGTTAGTATTTAACATGTTGCACAGAGAGGCATGGGTATTTTGTTTACTTATCAGTTGTAAATCCTACAGAATGTATTGATAATAAGTAATAGAAAGTTATAAATATTATGAAATGTGTGTGTGTGTGTGTGTGTATATTATGTGTGTGTATATATATTTATAGTAATTTCATATATGCCATTATTCATGTTAATTTTGATAGCATAAAGCATGCATATTATTTGTCTTAGGTATTAGCAGTGTTCTAAAAGGCTATAAGGAGAAACATAATTATGAAGTACGATGAAAAAAGTCATGTACATAAAGAAGGCATGGAACCTTATTTTGACCAATTAATGCAACTCCAAATCTAGGGACCAAAAGGTATGCTCCTTTATATTTTTTGTCCACCTTTTTTTATTTGTTAAAGTTAACTAAACTGAGGAATAATTATTAGCAATCTTAAATACTTAAATAATGATTTTACTGAAATAATTAAAATATTGGTTTCGTAAAAATTATTAGATGTAGTTTTAGAATAATTAAAATACAACTAAAAATAGGAAAAAGAGTCATAGGTTTCACCCAGGCGAACTTAGATTAATAAAACTTGATGCTTGACCTTGCCGCTCTGACATTCTCAAGTTAATTTTTAAGTAGCCAAAGGAAAAAAAAAANGCAAACACTCTTATCTCATGATAGGTAAGGATGACACAAACACGCCAATCTAGTGGTAGATGACGAATTAATTCAAATTCTGAAGTCAACTATAAATTGTTCACCAATAAAAAGATGTGTCATATTACCAGTGCTTAATAAGCTAAGAACTGTGCTTAATACATCATTTCTCCCTCTCTATATGCATATTTTCGATCCTTACATAATAAAGAAAAGTCTTCTCAATGCTCTAATACCCACAATGAATATGAATTAAACTGTCTCACAAAGTTATCCACCTAGCTCACCTACCACAACCAATAAATATGTGACACACTAACATTTTGCTGCCTTATGAAGCATTGCTATTGTAGATTGATAGGTTCATTGCTTCAAAGCTTTTTCAACATTATTGCTGCATTCAACGTGCATTTCACTCAAAAAAATCTATACACCTCCCTACCTTGTGATCACACATGCACATACAAATGCACACTGTTAAACTCGCACACAGAGAGTCGAATATGGCGTGCTTTGAAAGGGCATCACCTGCATTGAAGGAGATTCTTCTCAAAATATACAGGTAAGAAGATCAACTTGTATTAGATACTGTGTTCTAAATTTCTGATCTAATTCAACTGCAAAATAACACCATTCCTTCTGCCAAGCGTTCGACGCAATCAACTCATCTCACATTCAGCCAGACTATCTTCTGTTAGTAGTTAAATTCTAACAATAGGTACAGTACAAAATTTTAAGCCCCCACACATATTTCTAGGGAAAAAAAAAAAGAAAAAAAAAAAACCTTCATGTGGTAGTCGAGATAAATGTAGAATATAATTAGGCTCCAGGCAGTCCAACAATTTCAAGAAGTAAGAAGGATAATAAGTGAATAAACAGATGTTTCAGCTCCTCAGATGCTAGAATGAATATATATATATAGCAGGCAATAGAGATTTCTTAATTCTAACTAAAATGAAGATGTCATTACAGTAAAACAAGAATTTTTAGTATCAAAGAAATAGAAGTAAAAGCAGTCTTTGGTCTCAGTATGATGATAATAGAGTTTTATACTATGATATACATTTCTGCCATGGTGTAATACAGGAAGTTTCATAATTTTTCAATGCTACAATTATTTGAAAATCAGAACAACTGGGCTCCATATAAATATCATTATCAAGCTCCTAACATACCAAGTCAACATCGGAATTATTAAGCCCTGTTTGGTGGCCTGTAACTTAATTTATTTCTTATACCCATTTTCAACCACACATTCACATAATAAAATATTCTACACGTAAACACAAAACTTTTCCCTACTTTTTAACAATATATTCTCCGGAAAATACTATTCAAAACACAGTTTTTTTTTTTTTTTTAGGCCACCAAACAGGTGGGAATACACAATCATTTGAAATGAAGAAAGTAAAAAATCATAATTTTGACTAAAGAAAGCAGAATTGCAAGGATCTGTCACATGAACTACCGAATACACCATATAGCATAAAAGCATAAAGCGACTTAAGTGGCCCCCAGGGCACATCTTCAAGTGGTAAAAAGGGAGGGTGGAGAAATCCAGCTTTGCTAGAGGCTGCTGCGTCAAGGGTTCGAATCTTGAAATATGGATTTGGCTCTTAGGTAAGTGCAAATGTACAAGCAGCCTTCCACCCCGTACCCTTAGAGGTATAACCTGCGATTTACCTTCCTCACGATGCTCCAGGGCAGGGGCGGTGGGGAACCCTTAATGTTGGGGTTCAACCTTTTTTTATAAAGCGACTTAAGTGATTACATCGGTAAAAAATTCAAGGCAATGTAAAAGTGAAAATAAATGATGAACTATTTACCACTGGAAAAATAAATAGAATTTCAGATATAAAGAAGTGTCCTGTGAAGGTTTGGACAAAGACCAATGCTATAAGTACAGATTTATCAATTCTGTTAAAAAAAAATCTGTATTTGCGGAGTTTTGCTTAGACAAATACAACCTCACAAGTAAAATACGATCATGCCTTTTTCTCTTAAATACATTGGTTTCAGATCTTAAGGAGTCATGAGAAAGTCTAGTTGCGCAATTCCCTAATTATGCAAAATTATATGAGTATATAGCTGTCATTAAACCCAGGTTTCTGCTTCTTTTAGCAACCTATGAAATGTATGAATTCTAGAAATACTATACTATTAGAAATCTTAGTCTGATGGTGACTATTATATTTTCATGCAGAGCAGAAAAGTCCGTGGAGATTGATCATCAAATGCATGAATTTGGATCTGTACAATACCATGTTCAGGTAAAATTGTGAAGTCATCTTCTACTCATTAAAAACTGCACAAGAAGTTAATCTTGAGCTTGTGAAAACATGCAAATATTAAGTTGGGATTTATGGGGTAAATATAGATATATAATTAGTTGCTTCCTCCGTTCCAATTATATAGGCCGAGTTTCCTTTTTCTCTTGTGCCAGATATATAAGCTTGTTTCCTAATTTAAAATTTTTTATTTTGTTCCTTTACCAATCTATCTTTATTCAATTTTCCTCACTTAACATGTTAACTTTTTGAAATCATCCAAATACACACATTTCCCACTTCTTGGAAATATGAAACAAATCTCATTTTTTCTTATTCAAATTAAGGGCTTGTTTAAGCCATAGTATTTTAAAAAAAATACATTTTTCAACAGCGATTTGATATCATTTCAATCATACATTCCTCAATAAAATAATATTACACACAAATCTAAAATTTTTCTTTATTTTTTAACCACACATTTCCCATTGGTTTGAACTTTTTCCTAGAATGTGGCTCAAACATGGGCTAAATCATTCAAATTCTTTACTAATTTCAACAATAATTTACTACTACATATTGAAAAATAAATAGGGGTAAAATAGGAAAGATTTTGGCAAAAATTAATTTTCCAATAACATTAAAGAAGATTTTTTAATCCGTATGAAAATCGAAACAAGCCTATATAATTGGGATGGAGGGAGTATATAGAATGTCAACAATTTTCTCAGAAATTGATTGGCAGATAGGAATTCTAATAATTATGTTGAATGTATAACAGTGTTCTGCATCAGATCCACGTCAAACTTATTTGTCAATCTCAATGCCTCTTCTATCTGAAGGATTACAATTTACATCCAGGCTTCCAAACTACACTCTAGATATGGTTAAGGGAATTTATCCTGATGTTGTGGAGATTATAGAGCCTCCAAAAGATGGCTATCAGCTAACTTTGAGACTGAACTTCGCTAGAATTCCACACAGTAAAGGTGGGTAAATCTTCATACCTTAATGCTTTCCATGCTCGACCCCAACCCCGCCTCATCCCCTCACCCCAAATGAGGTTGAAAAATGAAAACACATCTAAGAGAACCAGGCACACAAGGATATGCAGTACCTTTCTCAGATCACCAACATTTCTCTTGGTTCTTATAAGATGTAATCTGGATAATTGCTTTTAAGCATAGAAATTTGTAAATGCCCTGGTCTGATTTTCTTGAGGATGTTGATCGAGCAAAATCTATTCCCAATATAAAGACAATGGAATTGAATAATTGGAAATGTGAATGCTTACAACTCAAAGACATTGAGATTTACAGTTGTGTAAATATAATCAGCCTTTTTATAAGACAACCACCAATGCCAACATAAAAAAAAAGAAAAAACTCAGTCATGAAATGGAGATATATATACCTCTCTTAGTAAATATATCTAAATTGTCCATCCTCAGTCTTATATTCTCTAGTGAAAAGTAAATTCCTGCAATAATAATACCAAGGCTCATCACATAAATACAAAAATAAATATTCTGTCCTAATTCTCTGGAAATTTGAAGGTAAAACTGCTAGAAGGTTTGAGATTTTGAGAACTTCCGATGGCATAGACTCTATCCCATGAGGAAAATATAAAATATAGATATACATAGACATAAAACAACACCCATCTTTACTGAAATGATATCAAGAAGTGATAGAATTTGTTCCCAAAGATCAATATTCGAAGGATAATGACTACATATTCTGATTTATTTTGTTGGAACTTACTATCTCCAGTCTCTACAAAGATAATCACAGAAATTTCCTCAGTTCAAGCTGTAATACTGGGCTCACAGCTGAAAGCGATGTTAAGGCTAGTTGATTCCCAGGAAATATCTCAGGGAATGTATAAACCAATCAAGCTCATTTATCATCCAGGGGAGCCATTCTATGTCATCAAACAGGTAATTTTGTCAACTGTTGACTAAATAGGTTTCATAGCAGAGAAAGAGCCCAAGAGAAAATTTAGAAACAGGTAGTAATTCAGTGAAAAAATTTCAAACTATAAAGTACTCAATCTCAGTAGATCCATAGAATCTTCGAAGTTGATTTCTATAGCCTGACTGCAAACAAATCCACAACTTGACAGCCAGCAAAAATCACTGCAGTATTCCCAATGCGCTTCAAAGAAAATACAGATGTGATTATTGCAACAACCTTCTTTCAGGTAAGAATTGCTAAACAGCACAAATGTAAAAAAGAAAGCCTTTCTTGGTTCTCTCAAGAGGAAATGACTTTTCATCTTTTCTGTATTCACGAGATCAAATTTTTACTACTATTCATAAAGGAACTGAATATTTTCTTTCAGGAACTTGTAGTTGTTGGAAGTACTGGAGCATGTGCTAAGGCGCCTCATTGCATCTGGTCACCTATTCCACCTCCAGAGTTAAGAGGAGAACCTATTGAAGATCTGAGCACCAATGGAGGATTTGTTTCTTTTGGTATTAAATTGTTATTTATTACTTTATAACAAATTAAAATAATTTCCAAGCTTTTGGTTCATTATCCAAGTTCTATTACCATGACATTTTCAGATATTACGTTCCGTCACGTGGAAGGAAAGAAACTAGACAAGACTGTATGGAACCTACTGAACTTCTATACATTCGTGAAATATCACGTGAAGGTAAAGCACATTCACAAGTTTTTGAATACCATACTGGCATCCTGCAATTAATATTTGGTCTTAAAACAGAGCACTAGAGGTTTTATACACCGGAGGATGAGAAAGCGTCTTGGAGACTTGGTTGAGGTAATCAAATCCATACCGGACATTGGAATAGTAACATAGTCCTTTTTTTTTTTTAGTTTTTTCCAAGTTACATCTCTCTCCTTTTGATTTGAGATCTCATTACTGGTAAGATGTCTAATGAGCTGCACTCGTGTTAACTTGCAGATCTTGCAAAATGCAGGAATTGAAGAAGAAGAACAAATTAAAAATAAAGTCCAAGGTATGAGTGACATTATTTTGCATTTCTAAGATTGTGGTGAATAGTTGCAGTCTTTAGTGATTGGTTAAAGGCGGGTTCAATGTAGCTATGGGACGACAAGGATGCTTTCATCTGTAGGAAGCTAAAATGGGCATTTTCAGCTTATATAAAGAGACTCAGCTAAAGCATAAACTGAGGAAGTAGTTTATAGTTAACATTCTACTGCATAAATTCTGCATGTAGGCACAGTGCAGGCATCCATTGTTTTGCCAGCTTGTCCTCCTTTTTCTTCCCATAATGACTTTTCTCCATTATGAAGCCGAATATTCTGATGCAGGATTCAAATCTGTGAGGAAGTTGGCAAGATTTCCAAGACCCGAAATCCTCAAGAGAAGATTTAATTTCAGCAAAAAGCTGAAGCGAATTCGTTCCAGATTAAAAATCCATGGTTTCAGTCGTTTCCGCAGACGATGGTTAACAATGCCAAAATTTTCTTCAGTTACAAGGTATACAAAACTGAAGTAAAATGGTAGTCTTCAATAACATGAATACGTTTGATGGAACATGTAAGCTTCTCTCTTATCTCACCACTAATTACTCCATTCCTCCACAAGCAACATACTAATGGAAACTGTTACATGTCTATATCTAAGTGAAATAATGGAAAGTATTTATATCCAGACGTTCAAAATTCTGTAAACATCAACATTGTCAATTGGTTGAATTTAAGAGCAAGAATTTTCCATAAAACATGAAAGAATTTAGAAGGAATCTTGATCTTTCTGCTCCTTTTAAGTTTATATTGACATCTTAGGCTCTGAAAACTGCAGATAGTGCACAAAAATATGGTTCCATAACCATTTTTGATTACAAGATGTGACTAATAAATAGATTGTGACATTTTAATGTATGATCTACGATTAAAATATGTGATTGTAACCGACAAATTTTATCGTTCTGACAATGATCTTGTATGATTTGTGACTAATATGTGACCGTGATTATGAAATATGTGTTACTGTGATCGTAATCTACTTAGCTAATTATAGGTCACAAAATGTGACCACTGATTTTTGAAATTTTACATAAGGTTGTTATTTTGAAATTGTTTTGAAATATTTTTAATTATGAAATTTTCTCCTAAAATAATCATATGTGAAAGCATCCCTTCTTAGATTTTTGTTTTTCCAAACTCATTAGAGCTGGATGCAGCCACTACAATCTAGGAAATTTTAGACTTTTAACTGACGGGATTAGACCAGTCGAAAATGCAAAAGTAATATAGGTGGTTTTTTTTTTTCTGGAAAAGATTGTACTTGAAATTATTGTAAGAATTCCTTATATCGGAAGAATAATTTCTTTCTTTGACCTTCCCTTTTTGTCATGTAATCAATTGATAATACTTCGCCACTCACATTTTCTCTATTTAATTGAAGGTCACATTTAAAATTGAATGTATAATATACATCAGGGATGAATCCAAGATCGGGCTACAAAATTTCAAGCCAGGCTAATACGCAAAAAGAAAAAATTTTACACACAAAAAACTGTTTTTTCAAAAAAATAATAAAATAATAAAATAATAAAATAAAATAAAAAAATGAAAAATGGATTAAAAAAATAAATTTCTTGGGCCTTCGGGGGGACTACAGTCCAGCCCAGCCCAGCCCAGCCCAATCGTCCTATATCCGTCTCTGATATACATGAAAATGTTTGTCTCCTTTTAAAATTAAATTCTTTAATTCTCATGCTTATTTTCGATTACAAATTCACATAATAAAATATTTTGCATGAAAATTCAAAATTTTTTCCAACGTTTTAACCACACATTCTTAAAAATGTCACTATTCAAAACATCATTTTTTCACAAAATAATGGCCATAAAAAATGAGTTATGATCTATTGGTTATTTTTGTTGTCTAATTTGTTGTCCATCCAATTGCAAATTGATATATCATGAAAAAAAAATTAAAGTTGTCATCAATTTTAATTTTTCAACCTTAACATTAATTTTGATTTTTTATGATATGTCCATTTGTAATTGGTTGGACGGTAAATTGGATAGCAGAATAAATCAAACATGGGCTAAATATCGGACTGCTAGTAATAATTTTGACATAATCTCATTTTTTCTTCATTCATGAATAATAATTCTAATTCTTCATATGTAAAATGTTAAAATTGGAAAAAATTCACTTTACATACAAACGTTGAAAAAAAATAAGATTATTAGATCTTCAAATTCGATATAAACGTCAATTTTTCTAATTTTAAAAATTTATCTAATATGCCATGGTCCATGTGATAAAATATAATTAAAATATATTTGTTTTACACTTGGTAATTGAAGTTAAGCATTATAAAAGTGTAAATGCTGGGCTCTGAATCTAGATGAGATTCAGTCGTCAACAAATCTCAACTACTCAATTTTTATTGCTAGAAGTTTTTTTTAAATATCAATCAGTATCCAATGACTATTGTTGTTTGAACTGAGTTATAACGAACTTTTAATGAGTTAAATATCATAGATCGACTTATCTCCACTTGTTCTATTTAACTAAATTTGTGACAAGCTCCGAATCCAAGAATTTTTCCCCTTTGCAAGTTTTTTGATATAGATTATAAGTATGTTTACATACTTTTCTAGACCTGTAAATATAGACATTTAGAAGTTATAATTAATTATGACCTAATTTCTTGTACATCTCATTTGTTAGGTAAAATCCAATGATTGAAAGTGAATTGGAAGAAAGGAACGAAAAATAACGAAAAAGGATGAAATCAAAGTTTAGGGACACAAATGTATATATTTAATAGGTGATTCAAACCACAAAACGTTGATTGAAGACCATAAGGAATCAACTGGATGAAAGTTGAAGTAATAGGATAGAATTTGCAAGAGAAAACTTAAGGGAACAACGTTCAAAATCGGAGACCAAAACTAACATTACTAGAACCTCCAGTGGTGTGTGCATAGGGATTGCACTTTGGCTAGTTGACTCGGGCTGCTCATGGTCGGCTCGAGGCTTGGTAGAACGGAGTTGGGGCGTTGGCCTGAGCCTGCCCGTACGGCTCGTTGAGCTAGCTTGGAAGAAAAAAGGGGGCAACAGTGAGCTGCCTTTTTTGTATATTGAAAAAAAATCGAGTCGGCTTGACTCGGTAAGGCTCGATCCAAAAGTTCGGGTTGAGCCTTGATTTTTTGACCGAGCGATTGCTTGGCTTGGGGTAAAAAAAAGCCTGATTTAATTTTACTTGAGTTGAGCCAAAGCCTTGAGTTTCAACTCATGAACCGGCTTGGTTCAGCTCGTTGACATCCCTACGTCGCATTGACATACACTTCGATCACTTAAAGAAAATACGATAGCAAAAGCTTCCTATAGCGTGTGCGATGAGTTCTATCTTGCGCGCACTCGGCCTAACTTTTTGTTGATGGGTCAATTTCTTTTTCTGATTCAAGATTTTATTGGTAAAAACTCTAAGACGATTTCTTAATCTAATTTCGAGCCTTATAAGTACAGAACGTGGGCAAGATTTGGGTGATACCTCTCATATAATATTTTTAATCAATTATTACAATCAAAGAGAGGTAAATCATCATTCTTTTTGGAAAATCGAAAAGAAATTAAAAAAAAAAAAAATCAAACTTTTGATGATCCAATCTTGATATTTGGACAAAGAAGAGAAAGCAACTGGAATTCATCAAAAAATCATTAAAGCGATTAAAGATTTAAAGATTTATTCTCTTCTTCATTTATAAAAAAATCGAGTGAAATTCTATAAATCAAACATGGTCTCTCTCTCTCTCTCTCTCTCTCTCTCTCTCTCTCTCTCTCTCTCTCTCTCTCTCTCTCTCTCTCTCTCTCTCTCTCTCTCATTTTATTTATTTATTTATTTTGGCAATGCTAAGCAAGATTTCTATTAATTTAGACATAGATGAATCCTTATTATGTAGTTTTAATATGATTAGACACCCAAAAAGTTCTTAATCTTTGATAATTGTTATAGGACTTAAAGTTTTTTAAATTAATTAGCTATTAGCTAAATTGATACGTGAATTTACAGAATATAACATATATCATGCCATAATAATTGTTGTGAGATCCGATAAAGGATAGGGATACTGTAGCAACCCAACCTCTATATCCAAACCGTTAACTTACATTATTTGTCCAATTGGTACTAAGGTTCAACATAAATTTCTCATATATAGAGGCTTTAAATTTGAATTTTGTGGGACGCGACTGAAAGCCATAGGGGGTAAGAGCGAATATTTTCTTCCAAAACTAATAGTGCGTAAGTTAATGACACCGGGATTTTACTTTAGTCTCTCATATGCAGAGGTATTGTGTTTGAATTTTGGGGAATGCAATAAAAATTCATGAGGAGTAAGATGAGATCAGACTTTTTCAAAGTGAACAGTATGTAAGAGAACGACTAGGCACGAGACTTGGGTCGATACATATATAACCCTATACTTTGCAATAGATGTTTTAGGATTTTTAATGCATGTTTTCATTATCGCATCTTTCATGAAGATATAAGAAGGTCATGTTAGACAGTAGATTTAATTCTATTCGAGAGATATTGATAAATAATTTAAGAACATTGATCAACAACAATAGCTCGTATAATTTGCTTATTAGAATAGGTAGGTAGTTAGATAAATTAGCATAAAATTTGTAATCAAAATTAGTTATTTGATTAAAGTTAGAATTGATTGATCCTAGATTAAATACATAGTCTTTGTGGGACTATATCTTATTCATCACTTTATTATTTGTCCATGATATTGTGCACTTCTAGGGCTTCATACGACTAGTAGACCTCAAACTACTTAAATATTTAACTTCTCTAAACTCTCAATGGTTTTCTCTATATTATTTTGCAACTTCACCTATCTGCAATTTTCTTGTCTAATTTTATACTAGGATTTGAATGTTTTGTCCACCAAAAATAAAAATAAAAATAAAGAAATGAATGCCATACATTTATTGCCCCACATAAAATGTTTATTGTAGGATTCAATTATTGTCATTCTTGTGAAGCTAGACATGACTCTTCTTGGAACTTTCCTTAGATATAAATATGAGGGTCAAAATCTTATCGCATCAACATGTTTGGACAACATTATAATCGTCTATCTACTTTGAATGTGAGTCGCAGAATACTATTCTCATGTTCATGTAAAATTTACACCCCCGAATATCGTCACTTGTAACTAAATTAATAAAGTACTCTTCATACAATATTTTTCCAGATGTAAACATCGAAAGATGATATTTCATTGCCTCTTAGTATACTTTTCCATAGCAATGCTCTCTGTACAGAAACTATAAACGCAGAAACACCACAGAAGAGACACAGCACTAGGGGGTGGGTGATTTTTTTGGCTTTTTTATTACAACATAGGCCCACACAATGTGAAACTTCTGTTGCATTTCTGTGAAAGATTTTCTGTACGTATGGAATTGCTAACTTTTCCAATGTGTGCTCCACAAATTTTCTCATTGCATGTGCTTCCACATTGCAAAAGTGAATGTTTTGAAAATCAAGTCAAGTATTTAATGGAAAAAAAAAATTAAGAATTAGTTTGAAAAGTTCTATTATTGAATATCGTAACATTAAAATATCAGAAAAAATCCAATTAATCTATTAGTTCAATTGAATGCATTTAAAAAATAAATAAATTATTTCCCTGACATGTATCATGCTATATAGTATATTCTATTGAGTGCTCTTGACATCGTAATTACTAATTTTTGTTTTTAAATTGATGAAACTTAATTATTTTGGCATCCAATTCAAGTTCTTGAACCTTTGACTCTCTATATTTTCGAGTTCAATAGTTGAATTGAGTTTAAAAAAATATATAAAATTAATGGTTAAGATTTTTCCCATGGAATAAAAGATATAGCGAAGGGTTTTTGCATCCTACTCGAGTTGTCTTGGATCCTTTTGACACTTGAGCTTTTAGCTGAATCGAATTTAACAAAACATGAATGGTTAGGATTTCCTAGTGAATCAAAGACATGCATTGAAGGGTCTGGTGGAAGAAAAGCCCCAGTTATAAAGCAGATGCAGAT